CCACAAGGAAGACACAGATAGATATCCCAACTTCCTCCCTCTTCAAAGGATTGTTTCAAAGACTCCTGAAGGATTGAATACAGCAGCCCAACAAGGCAGATATGGATATCCCAACTCCCTCCAAGTCCCGCATTCCACAGTGTCTTGCAACTGCATGAACCTAGTGAAAAGCAGCATCAACTATTGAAACCACTCAACAGGTTGGTAGGGTGCCGCTACGGTAGGACAACACGTATTGCAGTGGCCGAGCCACATAGTCCATGATCTGCCCTTTTTCAACCGTGGAAAAGGGCAGGAGCGAGGGAGCACGGAGGGGGAAGGACAGGGAGTGGGCCAAAGCGGGAGACGGAGCGGGAGGGAGTTGTGAGAGTGGAAGGAAAAGATCACAGAAGGAAGTAAGGAAGGGGGAGGGGGGGTAAGAGCTGAAAGGAGGATATGAAACAAAGCAACAGAGAGAGGCGAGTGAAGGAGAGGAGGGGGGGAGGCGAGGAGGGAGGCAACCCTCGCAGGTAAATCATAAATAATCGCAAAGGAGGAAGCGAAGCCCGCGAAGGTTTATATCTCCTGCATAAATGTGAATTCTGCCACATTCAAGGGTCTCCATCCTCAAATCTAACCCAACATCTTGTGTGAGGGAGGATGAGAGGCAACTTACTCACAGCTCTGTAAACAATTGGATTGTTATTTCTTTTTGATAAGATGAGATGAGAAAGACAAAGTAGGGTCCTCCTGCGCGGTGCTTGGTGTCTACTATCATCCTGTGTCCAAGGACGAGACTGCGTCTTCCATTCGCATTGAATTTCTTCCTATCGTGTTGTTGGTGTGGTTGTGAGCATCTCTCTACATTTGATACATCCCCTGGACTTCCAGAGCTGATGGATGCCCTCTGGAATGGGAAGGTAGAGCTGTATAAGGCTATCATTTGTTAGGAGGTGCATCATACCAAGCAGTGTATTGACCTGAATACGTGGTGCTTCCATCATCTAACCACCCTTTCGCCCTAGTGAAATGAAATGATTGAATAGTGTAACGAATAGCTAGTGAAATGAAATGATTGAATAGTGTAATGAATAGTTAGGAATAGTGTTGGACGCACATAAGACACCCTTTCGCCCTAGTGAAATGAAATGATTGACCCATCATCTAACCACCAGACAGCTAATGATAATGGTGTAAGATAACAACCATCGACATCGAATAGCTAATTGATTTTCGTCACGTGCTATTATTCATGAATTTCCGTAAGTTGAGAGAGAGAGCAGAACTTCGAAATCGTCTACTTTTCTTCACTACTCTTGGGGCACCCAATGTTTTTAAGCAAGTAGTCGAAAGGCCGTCGCGATGATCCTACTCTGATGGGAATACGACAAGAAGACAACCACAGAGTATGGAGTATGGAACAGCAAAAAGCAGGAAGAATGCACCACACAGAAATAGAGACTCCATGGTTCCTTAAACCGTACCAACTGCCTCCCGTGCGAGGAAAACCCCAAGCGAAAATCGAAATGGGAATGACAGCAGCACAACACATATATATTGTCACATCACTACAAACTAAAAGAGCGCACTTTGCGGAACAAAGAATAAAAGCAAAAAACGGGCACAGTGATAACATGCAAAAATAAAAATAAAAACAAAAACAAAAACAAAAAGAAAAAACAAGGGCAAATTGAAACCATTAAATTTCTCATTCTTCTTTGAACTCCACCTCCACTGTGCCTCTCACGTGCAAGTCTCGCCACGTTGATGAAGTTGAGCGCGAGCTGCCCCCATCCCCGTATGCCATAACAGCCCACTTGCACACTGTGAGAGAGGCAGAGTGAAGGGGAAGGTGTTAAACACAGGGAAAAGCTCAAGAATGAGGCTGTCCTTGACGACAGAAAGGA